GTGATTTTTGATGTGTTCAGTCATAAACAACAGATTATTACGTAATAATAGGAAAACAAATGAAGAGGTGCACAAAGTAAACCTAGAAGTTACATCATGTTGACGGCCATGGCAATGAAAGTGGTCGAACAAACTTCTTTTGGATACAAAGGCTAGGTTTATAAAGGTGGACTGTAATAGCCTCTGCGTAATCCATGAGCTAAATTAATTGGAATCTGATGGATGATTTTGAAGGCTTTTCTAGTAACCACTTGATGTCTTGTGTCCACTAAGTGTGCAAGTATGGAGCTCTTTATTGTTCTAATTTGTCCCTTGTTAAACCATGACGAGTAGTGCTCAGAAATTCGACGATGAACCTACCTCATTGTACATCCAACGTAACCAGCTCCACAGGAGCAGTTGAATTGATAAATGCTAATGATAACTGGTGGTGGTGGTGGCGTTGGTTGGATATCATCATCACCTCTGTCTTCTCCACACTCACTTGAAGTCCCGTCTTCGCTGCCCTGCCCTGCCATACCCTGCCTTGCCTCGCCTCGCCTCCTCTGTCAACTTCTTACTTTTTGACTGTACATCTTCGAATTTGTGCCACAACACATTAGACACAAGTCATCAGCAAAGTCCAGATCTTCTAGGATCTTTTCCCCAATCAAACACCCTATCCTCATATTCTCGCTCCTCACGGTTTGTTGCATGATCCAGTAGACCATAATCAGGAATACCATGGGTGATAGTAGACAGCCTTGTCTTACTCCTGTCTCTCGTCTTCACTTCAAAGGCATCAATGAGCTTCCCATTGTGAATTACTTGGCATGTGGAGTCTTCATATAGTTGTTGAATGAGGTTGATAAAGGTTTATGGTATTCTGTAGTGTTGAAGCAGTTGCCAAATTACTTCTCAGTCTACGCTGTCGAAGGCCTTGTGAAAGTCGATGAAATTGGCGTAGAGAGTTGACTGCCATTCCATGCTCTGTTCTATGATGATGCATAGTGTAGCGTTGCAATTTGGTCTGCGCATGATTTGTACTTCCTGAATCCAGCCTGTTTCGGTTGTAGTTTTGAATCCAGTGCATCCTTTAGTCTCTCCAGGATGATGCGGCTTAATATTTTGCTTGGGGTGGACAGAAGAATGATTCCGCGCCAGTTCTCGCAAAGACATAGGTAGCTCTTTTTCGGGAGGTACTTTCAAGAACTATGAAGATATTACCCATGTAACAACAACATAACTCTAAACGGCTAACTGTATCGTTCAGTGGACCATTCTCTAGTTTTATTGAATACAAAATACCGAACAGTTTTTGTTCCTCAAAATTGATTCCCAGTAAAAGTAAAAATAGCTTTTATCAAGAAGTCAACTCTTCACATATTCATATCAGATAATTACAAATTTTCATTTCCCTAATACACATGATATTTGCTAATTCGTCAAGAAGAAAAGGTGATCTTCTCAAATAATTCACTTAAATCGGCGTACATAGTCGGTTGATAAGTAATACGGATAAAATCCAAAAAAAACTAGATCATTTACCTTTCTAAAGAATGCTCGATACGAGTGATAACAGTGTCAACACTCATGCATTCGATGCGTGGTTTGACATAGACTAATCAAAGCAGGTGTAAGATAGAAATAACTTTTCTATTCATCTTGGCAACATACTAGATTTAGTGTTCACAAATGACTCTGGTATATATGAAGCTCCTAGATGAGCTCCATTGCTGAATTCTGACCAATGTTTCCACGTGTTTTACTAAAAGTATGTGGCAAAGTACAGAAGAAGGTGTTCCAAGAAAGTTCAGTACAAATGGTATTCACAGGAGAATGTACTGTGTTTATGAAGCATGGTTAAAGAAACAGATTGAGATACATTTGTTGATGACAATACTATCACTAATACCACAAGCTATCTCAGACCCCGTCTTGATATTTGTTGCCCTGTTGAAACAATCTCTATGAAGTTTGATAGACTTTCCTCTCCTCATCTCAAGAAACTCCGAAAGGGAAGAAGAAAGGTTGTATAAGGTGAGAGACCACCCTGGCGTTAAAAGACTTAACTGACTAATTAAGTATAAAACACAAAGTTTAAATACTATGTACAAATAGAAGCTTCCATTGTACAAGAGCTATTCCTATACGTGGAAATGATTCAAAGAGCTTACAGGTAGAAAACCGATAACAAAACAAGCTTGTTCTGATGTCTGCACGTTAAACTACTCATTTACACATAGACAAGCTGATTTCATTCTTCTTAGTGTCTGTAGTCAAATGGATAGTTACTTTCCTGGTTTTAATACAAGTGACCCATTTTAATGTATTAAATCCTTGAATCCATCTCAAAGCTTAGGTCCCGGTGATGTTTCCAATATTATATTTCGAAAATCTGCATATATTTTATGTCATCCCCTTGCAGATATATTCAGTGCATCGTTTTCTAAAAACATACTATCCGCTGCTTGGAAGGAGATCAAAGTTGTACCTGTGACAATGTCATCTTCTGGATTAGATGTTACATTTCAATCCACGACTATAACTTCCCCTTTTTTGAAGACAGTAGAGAAATTACTTCTGCTTGCTCTTGAAACTTCATTTAAGGCTTTCAGAGATCCAAAACAATTTGTTTACAAACACAAGAGGAGTACTTCAGATGATGTCACTGGTTCGCATCATAATATTGCTTCTAGTCTAAACAAAGGTGTTAAGTATGTTTGTTGTGACTTCTTGGATTACTCATCATCCTTTGACTCGGTTCCTAGGCCATTCTTGTTAAGTAAGCTTTTCATAGCTGACACTGAGACATGGTTTACAAAGTGGCTGTATCCTTATTTTTCTGAAAGGAAACAGTATACTATCTATTAAGAGAAGAGCTCTACTTCACTGCTTACTGAAGCCTGTGTGCCTCAAGGTGCAGTACTTTCTACCTTTCTGTTCAGTTTCAGTGTCAGTTAACTCTCACCTGTATTGCTCTGAATCAAATGGTTTCCTGTCTGAAACTGACCACTGCTCTTTCTCAAGCGGTCTCAAGCTAAAACCCTTTTCAATATCAGACTGTTAATTTTAGCCTCAGGCGTAAATAAGACTTCTGTGAGCTACTTAAGTGTCATGACACCGGTTGCACTGGTGGTATTGCTGTAGGAATTAAATCCAGTGTTAACTATCTTGGATTGAGTTTTGCTTCTAATCTTTGTTGGTCGTCTTATATCTTGTTGACTTCCAAGAAAATCTTTCGTTTAACTTATTACATAAAAAACTGAGACTCTCTAGTATAATGGTCTCTACTTTAACAATTTATTAGTTCGTATATTTCACCTTTTCTTCTCTATTGTTCTCCGTTGATCTTTTCTGATCTACTAAAAATGAACTATGTTATTATTACATTGGCCTTTGAAAGCCGTTAGTAAGGTTAGTACTGCGCATCTGGCTCAAGTAAATAACACTATAGTTGAAAGATATTTAAACTCTAGCAAGCGACTAGCCAGCTACAGTAATTTTAAATGACACTGAGCATCCACTTCATTCACAGCTTTCTTCTTGCATCTCCTTTGAGAGGACAAGAAGAAATTATATAAGACTATGTACGCTCGTACAACTGAACACAAGAATTTGACTGTTTCTTACCTAGTACGTATCTTATGCGAGAAAATATGTGTTAGAACAGAACTCATACATCAACTTTGCATCAGTAACTAATCTATCCTTTCAACATGTTAACTAACAATCTGAAATTTTCCTCGTTATTAATGTTCGTTACATAACTTAAATTGTTATATCAGCATTATTCAAAATTTCATCATAGATATTCTCATGGAAGTCTCCCTCTCGTCACCTGATTTCACAGACGTTGACCTAATCATAGAAAAATTTTCGTTAGACCTAGAATATGCAGATGACATTGTCCTGTTAGGTGAAGAAGTTGACAAGATGCAAAGTCTTCTGAACACTTTCAGTGGCAACTTGAGAATGTTTGACATGCGTTTCTCACAACACAAATCCAAATTGTTGCTCCAGGATTCGTCTTCAACCGTGCCACGGCTAATACATAGAGAGTTTAGTGATTCAGGGTGTCGACCACTTCGCTTACCTGAGAAGTAGGATCAGCCCTGATGGCTCAGTGGCCGACAAAATCTATGCAAAATCTATACAAAAGGCTCGCCTGGCTTCTGCCAACTTACGCCACCTATGGCGCCGCCCTGATATCCGTTTGTCTATTAAGGGTCGCCTGTACTGCACAGCAGTACACTCTGTTTTACTCTATGGCTGTGAAACATGGCCATTCAAGGTGCAAGACATGAGAAGACTTCAGGTGTTTGACCACCGTTGCCTTCGTAGTATAGGCTAGGCCATATTCTATGGTGTCACCACGTGAGTAATGCAGGAGTCAGGTGTAGAGTCTTAGGGAGTAGAGGTAAATCAGTTGACGAGGTTATGAACCTTCATCAACTGAGATGGTTGGGACACATACTACGTATGCCTGCCTAGTCACCGATTGCCTCATCACACAATGTTGGCCGAAGTAGGTCCAGGCTGCAAAAAGGGCCGAGGTGGCCAGACTAAAATATGGCACCAATGCACGAAGTCGCTGACTGTTGGTTAGAGCCATGTAGGGTGATGCTGACTAGTTGGTTAGGGTCCGCGGGACAAGAGGAAGCAGTGGTTGGAGACTCTAGGTGATCACATGGCTCAGAACCAATGTCAGTGGCGCAGATGTATACACACATTATCCTCATCTTAACATTATGCCGAATCTCACCATTTTGTCATTCTTCCTTTCTCTTTTTGAGTATTTTAAATTTCTTTTGATTTGATTTCCTTATCTTCATCTTTCACCCCACTGCCATTTTACCTGATGTACTGATATGATGTGTGGCAACTCGGAGCGTTACGCAGTAATGCCTGGTCTTTTGTTGATATTGATGATGATGTTGTTTGGAATAACGTTATCATTATTGTTATTATCAATATTATTAGTAAAAAAAAATTTAAGCAAATAGCAAACCTACTCATACCTGTGAAACGAATTCAGTTCCTTCTACAGAAGAGGATGACTTTGATTCCACTGATGAATTTGTTACTTGACTGTCCAGAAGGGAATATTTAGAAGTATTACAGCTTTTCAGGAACTTGGATGCTAAATATTCATTCAAACTAGTCAACAGTAAAGGGGATCTTTGTTGTTTTAATATATATTGAGCATACAGTGAACATAATAAGTCAAAACGATTCACTTTATTCCAATAGTTAACAAAGTCTCGATCACTTGTCAGTTCTACATTTAATCGTTGAAATCCCTGACGAATCTTTTCGTACAAAAGAAAAAACAAAACAATGGAGTTATTAAAGAACAAGTTCATTTATGCACATAATTTGACGTAAAAAGTAATGGATACTTCCTGGTGGATATGCCTTACACATTCCATGGAAATGACAACTCTAATAAGTAAGTAACCGGATAAATTCACATTTCAGAAAAAAAAAACAACTACATACCAACATATTATACTAACAAGCTGTAGCTATAAAATGCAACCACTTTGATTACAAATAACAGCGATTTATTTCCCTATGCATAATTAAAAATTGGCTGCTTAACTTACCCCAAGCAAAATATTAGGCCGCATCATCCTGGAGAGACCGAAGGATACACTGGATTCAAAACTACAACCGGAACAGGCCGGTTTCAGGAAGTACAAATCATGCGCAGACCAAATTGCAACGCTACACTATGCATCATCATAGAACAGAGCATGGAATGGCAGTCAACCCTCTACGCCAATTTCATCGACTTTGACAAGGCCTTCGACAGCGTAGACTGAGAAGTAATTTGGCAACTGCTTCAACACTACAGAATACCACAAACCTTTATCAACTTCATTCAACAACTATATGAAGACTCCACATGCCAAGTAATTCACAATGGGAAGCTCATTGATGCCTTTGAAGTGAAGACGGGAGACAGGAGTAAGACAAGGTTGTCTACTATCAACCATGATATTCCTAATTATGGTCTACTGGATCATGCAACAAACCGTGAGGAGCGAGAATATGAGGATAGGGTGTTTGATTGGGGAAAAGATCCTAGAAGATCTGGACTTTGCTGATGACTTGTGTTTAATGTGTTGTGGCACAAATTCGAAGATGTACAGTCAAAAAATAAGAAGTTGACAGAGGAGGCGAGGCGAGGCAGGGTAGGGCAGGGCAGGGCAGCGAAGACGGGACTTCAAGTGAGTGTGGAGAAGACAGTGGTGATGATGATATCCAACCAACGCCAATAACCATCACCAACAACAACAACAGCAAGCTCCAATCACCATCAGTGGGAGAAACTTAAGAGAAGTAGCCTGTTTCACCTATGGAGGCAATGCAGCATCGTTTCAAGTGCAGGCGGCACAGGCACAGATGAGGACACCAAAGTCAGCCAGGATGGAAAAGACAGCAAGACATGTGTTGATTAACCTGAAATCAGTGTGGAGATCTCCTCCACTGTACTCAGCATAAAGCGTGAACAACATCCGGATTATCAACACCAATTCAGTCAAGTAAGTCAGTGCTTCAATGTGATGGTTGAGAGACTTGGCGTGTTATGAAAGGCATTTGCAACAAACTACAGATATTCGTTAAGAACTGCTGCCTACGCTGGCTCATTACTGAAGCTGAGATGGCTGGGAAGAGTGATAAGAGTAAGCAAGGGGTAACTCTGACTGACTGGCTGGCTGGCTGACAGGGAACCAACGAAGCAAGAAGATATCGCTGAACAAATATGCATTGGAAGGAAGTGGAGATGGATTGGAATGGAATGGAATGGGGTAGGCATGCACTGAGAAGATCGATTGTGGACATCAGGCGCCGGGCCAGTCACTCGAGTGGAATGTAGATGGGAAGTGGTGAGTTGGGCGTCGGAGGTGAGGATGGCATGGAGGATATGGTGTGAGGAGGAGATGAGAGGTTGTGGGGTGTCGTGGAGCCAGGTTGAAGAGATTGTAGAGAAGAGATGAGAGTGTAATGGAGACGTGCTAGTGAAGCCCTATTTTCCACTGGGAACCCAAGGGACAAATAATAATAACCCATCTGTTAAGTTTCAGAATATAACTAAATAACGAGGGGGAAAAGATCAAGCTTAACAGAATTTTCCATTTAGCACTAAATTCTTAATACTTTCAAACAGACAGAGGGAATGGGTCCATAGGAAAAGTCTGAGAGTGCTAGTGACTTGGTCACTGCGAGACCTGTCGGTTTCAGGTTCAATCCCAGGTGAAGTTGTGGAGGAGCTTCATTCTGTAAAGAAACAGCTATCCAGTACGCCCACGTTTTCAACTGATGTCTCCGCAAGGTAAAATACTACCTTGTAGTTATTCGATCAAACTCAAAACCTGATGAAAAGATTCCAATCTAATGTGTGGCTTAACTTATCACTTCTAGAAATATATGAAGACATTTTTAAAAGCTTCAAGCTCATTCACCGTTAAGAATCTTTATACGAAAAAGACATAATAGAAAAAACAGGCAAAACACTGTACTCATCACAGACTGACGTCAGTTGGAGGAATATTGGGAACCTGGAAGCACCGGGACAGCCATTTCGTCCTACTATGGGACCCTTCAGCAGTGCGCCCCCACGACCCCATCAGAGATCGAACCCACGACCTCCAGGTCCTGCGGCTGGCACGTTACCATTGAGCCACTGGGTCGGAATCCAATGGTCCATATTTCCAACTTCTGTCAGTTTACAACATACCACGATGTCATTTCATGATGAATACCAACCTGAAATCAATAAATAAATCTCTCCAAAACCCTAATCTGAATTTATCTAGTGCATATTGGTGACTAGCTTTGAGAGGTGATTCCTGAAGTTCCGATGAGAAGTTGTGATCAGTGGGGCAAACCTAGTGACCATGAGGACAAATACTCAACGATGAGATTGGGTGATAGTCACGCTATGTCGTGAACAAACAGAAGTTAGAAATTTCGACCACTGGATTCCGACCCGGTGACGCAATAGTAACATGCTGGCCACGGAACCTGAAGATCGCAGGTCCGGTCCCTGGAGGGGTCATGGGTGCTGAAGAGTCCTGTGCTAGGACGAAACAGACGTCTAGTGCTCTCAGGTTTCCAATGTTCCTCCAAATGATGTCAGTCCATGGCGAATACTGACTTGAAAAATCTATAAATCCGCACAAACCTCTAAATTCAATAAAACACTGTACGCTTATCAACTACTTCTTATGCCTTTGAGGTACAATTTAATTCACTATATAAAGCACAAACAAGATTGTTTTCATATCCATTGAAGAAGTCAACGAAACGCTATAACTCAAATATCACCCAGTTTACTACTTATCCATGAATAATTTTACAGCAGAGAAATCCTGAATATTGAACAAAATTTAATTGTTGTTCGGGAAACAAAAGGAATATATCACTCTACACACAATGATAGTAACACTATGTGATACACAAAATGTGTATGATGAGATGAGTCAGATCAAAGCCAATTTCGGAAATTTATCTGCATCACACTCAAACTTCGGTCATTTTAATATAAGAGTAATACATGGGCATGTACTCCACATGTCAAGCCACCACCTACCTCGATATACCATGCTAGTAGGGAAAGTTGGATTAGGTTGGAAGAGGATTCACAGTGGCCAGATCAACACGTGGAACCAACCTATGACGTCTCTAATTGTTGGTCTGAGTCGTGTTGGGAAATGTAGACTGCCTCCCTTGGGTCCATGAGACGATAGGAATCAGTGGTTGAGAATTCTTGGTGACATGGCTGAAAATCGGTCCCAGTGGCGCATATTTACACTAACCGCTATCTTCAAGTTATTTATTCTATCGTATGACTATGTCTACTTTGATATCAGTCCGTTTCTATCCACTTGTTCCGTGTTGTACTGAGGTATGTGATAATATGAGCTGATACACTCCTATGAGAGGTTCTACGTTGATTTTACCACTCAGTAAGTTGATAAAGAAAGGACAATTTTTCCATAATCACATGACATCTGGTTGACAATCACTATAGCGAAACGTATAGATCTGAAGATAAGCAGACTAGAGTAACGTTTATTACCATAAAATTGAAACGACAGTCAATATTGAAGCATCCACACAGCAGTCCATATGCCTATAGAGATAGATAAATTCGGTTCAATCAGCAACGGGATAATACAAGTAACAACAAAAAAACTATGCCAATCGCACAACAAGTGGCTACCGTAAGTTGGCGGTCTATTGGATAACGTTCTGGTGTTTGAACTAACCGGTTCCACATTCCAGTTTTAGGAAGGACAACATTGCTCACTGGGAGGTAAGCACATCCAGTTGATGAGTCCTAAACAGGACGAAACGCGTGCCCGGGATTCCACTGCCAGCCACTATACACCATTACCATAAGTAGATTATTTACTTGGGTTCTATCACATATTCAACAACGTAGATACATTGATTTAACCCAAGTGTAGCATAGAGACACGATTTTTAGACGAAGCTATCAATAAATCAATAAGAAAATAAAAGTCTTTTGGCATGAAAACGAAGAAAATAACGTATTTACTAACTTTCTCATATAATTTACAAGAAGTTAAATTATTAGAGAAGAACAAATTGGAGAATCAGATATCATGAAGGCAAACCAACCGATATAGGCGAAAACGAAACACACAAAAAATCTGGTCAATAGTATTTCATACCTGCTCATAAACAATTTGATCATCAGCTGATTCGGGAATTCTTCCGATTATTTCACGAAACATATGAGAAACGAACCTGAAATGAAGTTAATGATCAAAAGAAAAGATGTAATTTGTCGAAATGACTGACTATAAAAGGATTCAAAACACTGAATGGTAATCTTTCTTGAAATGCTAGGTAATGTCGACTTCATGTTCAGTGTGAATCGCTTTGTGAGCTGAGATTTTACTTGACAAACGTTTTAAATTATCATTTTGATCATCTTAGATAGCCGTGGTTTAACAGACTAGTATTTATACTAGGTGACGATTGAAAGTGAAATAAACATTTGGATCGCGACCGGATTCGAACAAGCGACCACTGGGTTATCGGTCCGATGCTCTACCAACTGAGCTAAGATACCCGACTGCTGACCAGATTTTTGATCCACCTTAATCACCAAGGGTTTCACCTGACTATCATGTGAATTCATGAATTCGTTGGTGACAGGGTACCAGGTCAGAGACCCGATGGCCGCTGGTTCGAGTCCCGCCGCGGTCAAAATTTTCATTTCACCTTCAATCATCGCCCAGTACAAACGTTTTAAAGGCAGAGGTGTATGTGAGGAGAAGGAATTTAAAAATTAAGGTTAGTCAAAACATTCAAGTTTCGGGAGACATTGCCTTAGCCACCGATTTTCAGCCATTTCACCAAGAGTCTCCAACCAATGATTCCTATCATCTTGAAGACTTCAATCAGTCAATCTATACCTCCCTACACCATTTAGACCAACAGTTAGAGACTTCATCGATAGTCACTATGTCTTAGGATTATGACATTGAGTCTTTCTCTGATCCAATCCAGGCTTTGCACGTCAACGTGGGTGGCTCAGCGTGTGTAACACACGTCCAAGCCATATCAGTCACTCAAGGTTCATAACCTCATCGACTGACTTGTTTTCCTTGCCTAGTACGACCATATGGTGATTCCACCATACGTAAGCAATGCTACACAGACATCTGTGATAAAAACCCTGTAATTACATCATGTCTGCTACTTTCAACGGTTATGTTTCACAGTCGTATAACAGGACAGAATGGACTGCAGAGCGGTATTCTTAATCTTTCATATGTAGTCAAATGTCTGGTCAGTCAGTACCACGGATGACGCAAGTTGGCAAATCCCATACGGCCCCTCTATATTTAAGCTGAGATTTTGCCAGCCTCAAGTAAGTGATGCGAAGTGGTCGGCGCATTCAAACACTTCACTCTCGATCATTAAACAGGGAGTAATTGCAGCAAAACCAATCCATGAAATATCATCTTGCATGTGACAAGTACGAAATGTATGACAAATATACTCAAATTCCTACTCAAGGCATTTAAAAGACCGTGCACTTTGTCAGTCTGTGTACTGCAAGTTGAACAGATGCCTTCCAAGGAGTAGATCAATCCCTGTGAAGTCAGATGTACCTAGGATTATGTCTATTTAATACAACTATAATGAAATTCAGCATAAATAGTGACAGCGGACATCCTTGGCGTAAACCACCGGTTATTATGAATTCAGATGACGACTTTCCACTAGCTTTTAAATGATCACACCTAAGGAATAAATTATTATTATTATTATTATTATTATTATTATTATTATTATTATTATTATTATTATTAATGGTCCCTTGGGTTCCCAGTGGTAAATAGGGTTTCAGTAACACGTCTCCATTACACTCTCTTCTCCGAAGTCTTTTCAACCTGGCTCCACCACTGCCCAAAAGCTCTCATTTCTTCCTCACACCATCTCTTCCATGTCACCCTCGCCTTGCACGCCCAACTGGTCGTTTCCCCTTTGGTTTCCACTCGATTCCCTGGCCTGGCACGTGATGTGCCCAGTCGGTTTTCTCAGTGTATATCCAATCCATCTCCACTTCCTTCAGAGTTAATTATCAATATGCTTGAATGCTATTCCCTATACATGACAGGATCACAACTAAAGTGATCATTATTCCATATGGGACTGGGATTTATTACTTGTAACATTGTTATTATTATTATTGTTATTATTATTATTATTATTATTATTATTATTATTATTATTAGTCCTTTGGGTTCCTAATGGAACATAGGGCTTCAGTAGCACGTCTCCAGTGACCTCTGTTCTCTGAGATCTTTTGAACCTGGTTCCACGACAGCCCACAACCTCTCATTTCCTCCTCGCACGATCTCCTCCACGTCGCCCTCGAACGCCCAGCTCGTCGCTTCCCATGGGGATTCCACTCGAGCAACTGGTCTGAGGCGTGATGTCTCCAGTCGGCCTTCTCAGTGTATGCCCAATCCATCTCCATTTCCATCTGCACATTTGTTGTGTGATAGGTTCTTGGTTGGTTCGTTCCCAGAGCTCCTTGTTGCTTATTCTTTCTGGCAATCCATCTGATCTTCAGTAGCGAGACAGCGTAAGCAGTTGTTGATGAATGTCTGTAGTTTGTTGGAAACGCCTTTCGTAACGCGCCAAGTCTCTGAGCCATACAGAAGCACTGACTTGACGTTGGTGTTGAAAATCCGGATGTTGTTCCACATGCTGAGTGCAGAAGATCTCCACACTGGTTTCAGGTTAATGAACAGCTGTCTTGCTTTTCCGATTCTGACTTTGACATCCTCGTCTATGCCTGTGCCTCCTGTAGTTGAAACAGTGCTTCCTAGATAGGTGAAGGAGGTTACTTCCTTTAAGTTTCTCCCGTTGATGGTGACTGAAGTTTGTTGTTGGTGGTGGTGCGGTATCTTCATCACCTCTGCCTTCTCTATATTGTAACATTAAGTGTCTAAATTACTAACATAGACAGCTCTACAAAACACAAACACCAATACTAATAACAGTAACCTAAGGTTGAAACTATTTGATATAGAATTAGGATTTTCTAAAAACTGATAATTGATTGAAAAAAAATTGACAAAATATATATAAATACAGCGAACTTACAATACTTTATCCATTAGTTGTTTTTCATTATTCGTTAATTGTCCTGACAATTTAAACCTCTTGAGAAAATTTTTATCAAGAAAATATCATGAATATTGGATTATACTGAGTAATTTTAGTTGTATTCAAAGTAAACCAGGAGAAATATACACCGGAACTTCTAAATACACACGAATTTTTAGGAAATGTATAGAATTCAAACTTCCTTAACTGGCAGGTGGCAATTATAAGAATGACTTCATCAAAAATCTCTGTTAATTCTCAAGCAGAAATAAGCAATAATCATCACAAGAAGAAACTGAGAGTGATAATTGAAATTTTCTTAAGTTATACTCTTAAACAGTAAAATTTACGTAATATATCAGAGATAGAATCAACGTAAAACTTTGGCACAGAAATGCATTGGCTCAAGTACCCACACTTGACAGTATTACACTAATATTATTTGTCCCTTGGGTTCCCAGTGGAAAATAGGGCTTCACCAACACGTCTCCATTACACTCTCTTCTCTTCTCTACAATCTCTTCAACCTGGCTCCACGACACCCCACAACCTCTCATTTCTTCCTCACACCATATCCTCCATGCCACCCTCACCTCCGACGCCCAACTCGCCATTTCCCATCTACATTCCACTCGAGTGACTGGCCCGGCGCCTGATGTCCACAGTCGATCTTCTCAGTGCATGCCCACCCCATTCCATTCCAATCCATCTCCACTTCCTTCCAATGCATATTTGTTCACCGATATCTTCTTGCTTCGTCGGTTCCCTACCTGCCAGCCAGCCAGCCAGCCAGCCAGGCAGTCAGAGTTACCCCTTGCTTATTCTTATCACTCTTTCCGGCCATCTCAGCTTCAGTAATGAGCCAGCGTAGGCAGCAGTTCTTAACGAATATCTGTAGTTTGTTGCAAATGCCTTTCATAACACGCCAAGTCTCTCAACCATCACATTGAAGCACTGACTTACTTGACTGAATTGGTGTTGAGAATCTGGATGTTGTTCACGCTTTATGCTGAGTACAGTGGAGGAGATCTCCACACTGATTTCAGGTTAATCAACACATGTCTTGCTGTCTTTCCGATCCTGGCTAACTTTAGTGTCCTCATCTGTGCCTGTGCCGCCTGTACTTGAAACGATGCTGCATTGCCTCCATAGGTGAAACAGGCTACTTCCCTTAACTTTCTCCTGTTGATGGTGATTGGAGCTTGTTGTTGTTGTTGTTGTTGGTGGTGGTGGTGGTGGTAGTGGTGGCGTTGGTTGGATATCATCATCACCTCTGTCTTCTCCACACTCACTTGAAGTCCCGTCTTCGCTGCCCTGCCCTGCCCTACCCTGCCTTGCCTCGCCTCGCCTCTTCTGTCAACTTCTTACTTTTTGACTGTACATCTTCGAATTTGTGCCACAACACATTAGACACAAGTCACCGGAGAAATCCAAATCTTCTAGGATCTTTTCCCCAATCAAACACCCTATCCTCATATTCTCGCTCCTCACGGTTTGTTGCATGATCCAGTAGACCATAATCAGGAATACCATGGGTGATAGTAGACAGCCTTGTCTTACTCCTGTCTCTCGTCTTCACTTCAAAGGCATCAATGAGTTTCCCATTGTGAATTACTTGGCATGTGGCATCTTCATATAGTTGTTGAATGAGGTTGATAAAGGTTTGTGGTATTCTGTAGTGTTGAAGCAGTTGCCAAATTACTTCTCGGTTTACACTGTCGATGAAACACTTGACAGTAGTACAAAAGAAAAACAGGTGGATAGAAAAAGACTTGGAGAATAAATAATTCGAAGATGACGGTTAGTGAGAATTTTTCAAACCTTAGAAGACCTCTAGGAGTGAATATAACTGCCCCACTGCAACCGATTTTCAGTCATATTAGCAAGAATCCTCAACCACTGAATCCTATCGTCTCACGAATACCAGCGAAGTAGTCTACCTCTCGCAACACGGCTGAGACCGATAGTCAGAGACTAAATCGACTGGTGTGACGTGTTGGTCTGGCCGCCCTGGACCCTCTTCTAAATTAATCCAGCTTCCCCGACCAGCAATGACATGTCGAGGTAGGCGGTAGGTCAGGCATGCGCAACACATGCACAAGCCACATCAGACGATGAAGGTTCATAATCTTGTCATCAGTCAACTTACCTGCTTGTTTGATCTAATACCCTTCTTCTGACCACAACATTGCTTATCCGATGATTCCATCGAACGCGAGCAATGCTACAAAGACATCTGTTATAAAACCCTGTAATCGCTTCATGTTTTCTATTTTCGACGGTCACGTTTCATAGTCGTATAACAGGACAGAACAAACTGCAGTGCAGTATGCTCATCCTTAGTTTCAACATCCATCAGTGAACTCATGATCCTTTGATCAATGACGTCTACATTAGCAATTAGTCACTACTCAGTGTTGAAAAGCAATGGTTAGTATTCATAGCTTCATATTACCAGTGTTTATTTACATAACCGAATTGATGAATAACCCCAATGTGAGACGATACACCTACGTAACATCATCTATTTTTTAACCAATACCAGACATAAAATATCACTAACTGCTGGGTAAACCTCAAACTAATCACTGGTCACACCTACTGATCACAGGGATGTAATGCCAGAAAAAACCCTGACCCTAAAGGTCCTCAGTTTGATCCCTGGAGAAGTTATGAGTGCACACTTCTGAGGAGTCCCACACTAGGTTAAACCAACCATCCAGCGCTCTCAGGTTCCCAGTGTTCCTTTAATTGACGTCAGTCAATGATGAATACCAACTTGAAATCAAGAACAAGAACATTGACTACGGTGGAAAAAATTACTAAATTGTAGTGAAGGAGATAGAACACCAAAATGAAGAACGAAGTAGTGGAGAATATTTGTAGCTCAGGTGGATGGTCTTGGTTGTATTGTGTTCTCTGATCTGAGAAGAACGAAGTGTTAAGATGGTGGGAGTCACTCGATGAGAAACCTTTATCATTATTTTTTCCCTTGGGTTCCTAATGGAACATAGGGCTTCAGTAGCACGTCTCCATTCCACTCTCTTCTCCGCAGTCTTTTCAACCTGGCGCCACGACTCCCCATAAGCTTTCATTTCTTCCTCACATCATATCCTCTATGTCCCCCTCGCCTCGTACGCCTAACTCGTCGTTTCCCCTTTGGATTCCTCTCGATTCCCTGACCTGGCGCGTGATGTCCCCAGTCGGCCTTCTCAGTGTATGTCCAGTCCACTTCATCTCCACTTTCTTCTGCATATTTGTTGGGCGATAGGTTCTTGCTTCGTTCCCAGAGTTCCTTGTTGCTTATTCTTATTATTCTGGCCATCTGATCTTCAGTATCGAGCGTAGGCAGCTGTTGACGATGACTGCCTGTAGTTTGTTCAAAATGCTTTTCGTGACACGCCAAGTTTCTGAACCATATAGCAGCATTGACTTGACATTGGTGTTGAAAATCCGGGTGAGGAACCTCAGTGATCTAGATTTAGTGGTTGTTGGCACTTGTCAGTAAGGTTTATCTGCAACCGCACGAAGAAACCGATTTTCCTTCGATAATGTGAACCTGAATCACTTGGTGCTAAAGTCAGAGACTTGCCCACTGAACTATTCAGCTCATGAATAACTCCTTATGAGACTGGATTACGAAGGAAATGCACTCAGCAGCCTTATTCACATGCGTGCAGTAGGTAATGAGCCACATCTATGGTGTCAGGGCTCACGATACTACCTGGCTTCCCTAAATCTCTGAGCCACAGCTCCACTACTAGACTACTTACTAAGCGAAGTGATGAGACACCGTGGTGCACTATACTTCAGTGTATCACCACTGATATAAATGATCTGATAAGCAGCTTTAGTTACACTGTGAAAATCTAATCCTTGACAGAAGTGAGAATATGTAAACGTGCAGATAAATGACCTTAGGTAAAAATTCAAAGAATTAATGTGTACTTCACATAAAAACTAGTCAAATAAGAACGTTTTTTAATGGAATCATCCAAAAAGAAAATGGAATGGTGAAAATATATAGATTATGAGATGTAATATATTGACAATAGTATGATTAAGTGTTCACTGTTCAATTTAAAGCGCTTTTTTCAACTTTGGCGTCATTAATTAACTAACTAAGTAATGTAATTGAAAAATTTGTAATATTCTAACTGGTAGATCGAAACCTGCAAACATATTCAAAGATCGGTACTGAAAGTGTCACATAAGTGATTTAGTTTCATGGATATATTCAAGGCAAATGACGAAACACAGTAACTTGGTTAGTTGTGGCTATCAGAGGAATCCAGGCCGCGCGTTTCGTCCTATTTGGGACTCACTCGTCAGCTGGATGTACCTGCACCCCAGTGAGTGATGTTGTTCCTACCGAGACTCGGACCTCGTACCCATCGCTTCAAACGTACTCTGATCTGCCTGGCGAAATACTACAGATCAGCCTAATTGGTTCCTAACTACTCAAGTTGTTCAGTAGTAGTATCTTAACCAGAATCAGGCTGATCTCAGCTTATTGTAACTACATTCAAGCAAAAGGGTTTATCAGCTTTGTTGCTGACAAAGAGTTGCATTATTAAATCCATCGGAAAAGGTTCTTTCAAGTAACTTACCAAATGGCTGTTGTTTATCGCATAATTTACTGCGCTTTTCACATCTGAAAAACAGGGGATGTTGTGACGCTTAATTATTTCTAGGAAATAATTCATAGCCTCCTCTAGACAGTAGTATTCTCTAAAATCCAAGAAATATATGAGGTTAACCAAATCAAATTTTATTAACCTACAGTAAGAAAGACAACTCGAGTCACACACACACACATACACAAGTGGAAATATACGTAAATTAGAAAACCTGAAAAACACTATACAAACAAGTAAGGCATACCAGTTACTGTAATCTATAAGTAGTGCAAACACAACCTTTTATTAGGGGTAGGAAGAGTCATCAGTGTAACCTCTCAATATGAATACATGGTTTGACTCGAAAATAAGGTTCTTCCTTTGTCGAAATAAATAATTCTATACGAATTTGTCTTGAAATCGATATTAAACAGGAATTTATTCTACATAAATCCTAAATTTTCAAGTAAAACCTTATGAGAAAATTTGGTCCCAATACACTACAGAGATCTGCTGGATAATGATAAGACAAGAGGGAGTTAAAGTCAAAATGAAGACATTTCAAGGGGAACGTCATGTTATCTTCCGCAATAAATGTAACAGTAGTAAGCTGATTCCTGTGGATGATGAGTATTCCAGGCTGATAGTGGTTTACTCATCAAAAGGAGCGGTTAGAAAGGGTCAACCCTACAAACAGTATACTTCTTCTTATTCTGGGCTACTTCCGATACCGGCAGTATAAGTTTACTTATCGCGAAGCAGTAGGCCATATGTGACTGGAGTAAAACAGATATTTCTTGAGGTTTGCAGCTATGCACCACTGTAATTAAATGATCTAATGTCTTAATACAGGTACCCAAAGAAATAATAACCTCTGGCAATACTCAAATACCGTTCGGTCAATGCTAACCTATCTCATCTTTACCTTTTAATCTCTCTTTACACCACCCTGCTAGCAGTCTTGCACGATCTTTAGTTTCTTCGAGCTCTATATCCTCTGATAATGATTAAACTTCACCCATCTTTGGTGTCCTGAAGCTGAAACCCAAACTACAAATCGAAGCTTTCAATGTCCACATCCTTCGTCAAATCTAACACCAAGCTTCAATATCTAAAGCTCTGGGCCACAGACGCGTGCCATCTTAGTCAAAAAGGCACGCACAAGACAAGTGTGGCTATTTGCTTGATGATACACAACCAATGTGATGAATATGTGAATATCATCCCTCAAGATTTTTGCGATTTTTCGACTAGATCTTGCTGTTTTGCATATGTCGATAAAAAGTTAACCTCCTAGATAGCAATCAAAAATCGTCTGTTAGGACGAATAATGAAGTGTAACCTCTATCGATAGAAGTCTTATGGTAATATCTCTCACTAGATAGGGTGCTAGGCAAAAATATAACTTTCCTAACGGCTTAGTATTAGAACGGTCGTGTAGATATCAGACCCACAGCGAAGTATCAGATGAGTTGCCTATATTGAGTGCTATCACCTAGAGATGTCCATTCTAACCATTTTTAATTAGCCTTATCCTAGATGTACTTATAGAGGCCTTCTCCTCCTTGTCTAACTTTAGAGGGATTGGCCTTGCCAAGGAAACTCCCTGGTGATTTTAAAGTACGCGAAGACGTAGTCTTATCGGCTGAAGATGTAAACTTTACTAGATACCTTGAGTGATACTTTGACAATGCTTTTAGGTGTATTTCGCACTTCCAAAATACAAACTTTGCTTCAGGAATGGTCTGCAGTAATACCTCATGGAACATTACAAAGTAAAGTGATCGCAGGCGTTAACCATTTCAATTCCTTAAGAATTTAGATCAGCTCTGATGAGACATTGGTCGAAAAAACTCGGCACAGAAACAAAACGCTCGATTAGCTTTCGCCAATTTACGTTATTTATCGCCCCTTCAATATACCCGACTGCGTACTACGAACCAAGTGTGCTGTGCAGCAGTTCGCCCTGTTTTATTATATAACTGTCAAAAATAACCATTAAAAGTAGAGAACAACAGACGGTTTCAGGTACTCAACCACCATTACTTTTATATCACCGATCATGTCTCGACCGATAGCTACTGCTTTGATGTGGTGGTTGGCTCTGCATATCATAATGACCCAACCACCTACGCTGGTGGAACAGTTGTCCCCTCAAGGTCCTACCATACCAGAAAGGTCTGGTGGATAGTGGTTAGACGAAAAGCAGTTACCGTTGTGGTGTAAATTATTACACTATGATGGGGATCTGAGGGCGAAGTCGTACTGCTGCTAGCTGGATGGGGTGTGACAGCAGTAAGGTGTTTCCCGTGGATGACCATGCTGATGCAGCCTTCTCAGTGGAAGAGGGGGGGGTTAGAAAAGGTCGGCCCCAAAAATAACACACTCTACCATACCCCACAGTCTGCCGGGCCGGCGGTGTTGCCTCATTTGTCATTTCCTTTCGACCATCCGGCTCCAAAAATACTAAGGCTCAAAATAACCATACACAAAAGGCTGAGTATGACAGGCCTCAAGCAGATATCCGATGGGCTCTGCGGTCACAAAAATCTCTTTCAGATACCTTAAAAAAATAGCCTCCCACGGTTTGGGCAGCTGGGAAGTGTCAACCGCCCTCACAACTCTATCAGCACTCAAGTTTCCTCAGACTCCTATCCACCACCCTCATCATTACCCTTTAATCTTCCTTCACGTCTTTCAATTAATAATACCACACCATCTTCAGTTTGTCCTACCTCTGCAGCCTTTGACAACGATCTAAGTCCACAAAACAGCATTTTTGGTCTCCTTAAACCACGCTCCAAATTAGATAATGAAGCCTTCAATGTCCGCACCCTCCGTCAAATTGGTCAACAGGCTTCGTTGGCAAAGACCCTAGCAACTCGGGCCATGGATGTATGCTGTGTCTGTGAGATACGCATACAGGACCCAAGTGTGGTTATTCACTTGACCTCTCCTGACCAATCTGGTGAATCCACAAAATTCACCCTTCGAGTTTCTGGAGATTCGATAGCTAGCTCTCGTGGTCTTGCAGGTGTAGGTATAGCACTAAGCAGTAGGGCAGAAAACTCACTACTAGACTGGATCCCAGTTGATAGTCGCCTCTGCGCTATGAGACTGAACGGCACAGTGAGAACTAAAAGGAATAGTGAGACTCGCCGTTGTCTCTGCTTGCGCACCCACTGACTGTAGTTCGGATGAAGTGAAGGACGAGTTCTACCATAAACTGTCTAACCTCCTCTCGAAAGCCAAACGTTCGGACGTAGTGGTTGTTGCAGGTGACCTCAACGCACAGGTGGGTAGACTGAGTGAGGCAGAAAGGCACTTAGGTGGCACTTTCGGAATCCCAGCTGAACGTACAGATAACGGTGATCGCCTATTACAACTATGCTCAGATAACCGCCTATTTTTAGCCAGCACCAATTTCAGACATAAAGAAAGGCACTGTCTGACCTGGCGTCCACCGAGCTCAACTCAGCGATGGACACAGATAGACCACATTGCTATTAGTCATCGCTGGAGAGGATCGGTGGAAGACTGCCGCTCCTTCTGGAGTACGTGTTTGGACAGCGATCATGCGTTGGTCCGAGCACGTATATGCCTGCGTCTCAATGGACGTAGAAAAAATTTGGCAACAAAACCACTACGAGTTCTGCTGGACAACGAAAACACCAAAGCCGTGTTCAGTGAGAAGTTGGCTAGGCAGTTATCGGAACAAAAGACTGTCACTCATCCAGAAGAAGCTTGGTGCCATCTTCAGTCTACTGTAAAAGCAGCACTGAAGACTGTAGCCGACTCCAAGATAATGGCTAAAAAGAGCCAGTGGATATCAGCAGCTTCTTCCAAACTAATGGATGCACGTGAATGCATCCCTGCAGGCTCTGAGTACAATGAAGAGCGAGCGCAACTTAAAAATAAACTGACGAAAAGTCTGCGCAACGATCGTGAACAGTGGTGGGCAGCAAAGGCTAAAGAGATGGAAAAGGCAGCGGCGATCGGTAACAGTAGACAGTTATTTAGACTTATTAAGGAGACTGGGGGGAAATGGTCAACAACAGTTAGTGAGGTTATAGCGGAGAAGGACGGATCTGCGATTCACTCGCAGGGGAGACGACTGGAATGATGGGCAGAACACTTCGAGGAACAGTTTAACTGGCCTCCAGCCACCATTGCGCTGCCCGCTATCCAGTCGGACCCTGAATGGGACATAGAGACAGGCCCCCCAACACTAGAAGAAGTCGAGAAAGCGGTAGGTAGCCTGAAACGAGGAAGGGCAGCAGGACCAGATGGACTACCTGCTGAGGTATACAAGAATGGTGGTAGAGTCCTCTTAGTCAGGTTAACGGAAGTGTTAGCCAGTATATGGGAATCAAATACGATCCCCTCCGACTGGTCTAAGTCACTGATCATTCCAGTCTTCAAGAAAGGTGAGAAGTCCTCTTGTGATAACCACAGAGGAATCAGCCTGTCCAAGATCCTAGGTTCCATAATTCTTCGACGTCTGAGTGGAGCTCGGGAACAGCAAGCCCGAGAAAAATAGGCAGGCTTCAGATCCGGCCGCGAGTGTATCGTCCAAATATTCACACGGCGGCGGGTCCTGGAACATAGGCACACCTACCGACGCCCAACACCAACTGTATTTCTCGACCTGAAGGAGGCATTCGACTCCGTTGATCGAGAAGTCTTATGGCAATGTCTCTCACTGAAAGACGTGCCGAGTAAGTACATCACCTTATTGAAGGCTCTCTACTCGAACATTTGTGGGCTCGTTAGAGCCTATGGTGAGATGTCCAGGGAGCTATGTTCATCAAGTGGTGTCCGTTAAGGGTGCCCAATATCTTCATTCTTATTCAATTTCATCATAGATATTCTCATGGAAGTCTCCCTCTCGTCACCTGATTACACAGACGTTGACCTAATCATAGAAAAATTTTCGTTAGACCTAGAATATGCAGATGACATTGTCCTGTTAGGTGAAGAAGTTGACAAGATGCAAAGTCTTCTGAACACTTTCAGTGGCAACTTGAGAATGTTTGGCATGCGTTTCTCACAACACAAATCCAAATTGTTGCTCCAGGATTCGTCTTCAATAGTGCCACGGCTAATACATAG